GCCGGGAAGCGACGCCGCCGGGAACGGAAACCGCGAGAAACCGCCCAGCTTTGAATGAGGAGCGCGGGCGAGGAGCCGCGTCGGCGCCCTGAACCGCAGCCCCGCCGAGGCTTCACGCAGCGGCCGACACACATACATGGCGCGCTGGGTCTTCGCGGCGAGCAGGGAGGAGCGCCGCGGGGATCGGGATCGGCGCCTTCGCAGGGAGAGCGAGCGCGCCCGGGCGAAGCCGGAGCCCGCCGGCGCGTCTGCGTTTGTTGGCTTGTGAAACGGCGGCGACCCTGAAGAACATGAGCGGGGGCCAGGCCTCATTTGGGAGGAGGCAGCGCTGGTGAGAGCGAGGAGGCATGGTTAGGAGACTGACATAAATGGCCGACTCCGTCCTGTCGCAGCCGAACCCGGGCGCGTGGTGAGTAGCTCTCCTCGAGGCTCACGCGTTGCAGGGGCGTTTATTGGGCTTCCTGGTGTCCAGGAAGATCCTACGTGCTGTGCTGCATTGCTGCGGCGGCAGGAGCGGTTGTGAGGCACCGAAGTCGCAGCGGGCCCAGGGTCGTGCCGACACGTCAGAAAGGCGTTCCGGGCCCCGAAGGGCTTGCACGCGTGTGCGCACCTCCTCGTAGCGGGTGTGCGCTGTGTGACGCGTGTTTTTGCACAGCAGGCCGGCTCGCACGAGTGCTGGAGGAGGTTAGCAGCTGCACAGAAGTCGGCTGCGTGTGCTCGGGGGGGGCGGCACGAGGGACCTTGGTTTCTGTTTGAGCTGTGCACGGTTGTTTATAGGCACGCTTGCTCACCGGCAGACCATTGGGGCAGGATCCGGGGACAGCAGGGCAGACCCTACTAGGAGAGGCAACAGGACCTGAACCTGTTCAGCCTCCACAAGAGAAGGCTGAGGGGGGACCTTGTGACCGTCTATAAACTCACTAGGGGGGACCTGAAGGGTTTGGGGGAGACCTTGTTTCCCCTAGCCCCCGGGATAACATGGAATAACGGCTACAAGTTGTTGGAGAGTAGGTTCAGATTAGACATCCGTAGGAACTACTTCACAGTCAGGGCGGCTAGGATCTGGAACCGACTTCCAAGGGAAGTGGCGCTGGCTCCTAACCTGGGGTTTTTTAAGAAGCGGCTCGATGCCTACCTGGCTGGGGTCACTTGAGCCCAGTTTCCCTCCTGCCCAGGCAGGGGTCGGACCTGAAAATCTACAAGGTCCCTTCTGACCCGGCTTCTATGAGTCTATGATCTGAATGCTTTGAGCTCTGGCGGCAAAGAAGTATTGCTGAGATGGGGGGAGATTACCGGAGTTCCCAGGGAGTCGGCGGCAGTCAGGAATGCGATGCAGATCCCTTGATCGTTCGAGCGATGCCTTAATGCCTTTCCTGCGGGACGGGTGAAACATTCCAGGCGTGTTCAGACACGCTCCGAGAGACCGGATTTAATCCCCCGCTCTTGGCTGCCGCAGACGCTGCGTGCTCAACCTTCCCCTTTTGAGCTGGGCTGCGGGCTCTTTCTAAGCCAGGCATTTTTATCATCATCGCCGGGGCTCTGACCTCGGGGCCTGTTGTGCCCGGAGCTTGCGACGGTAACCTGCCCCCTCCAGAAAAAAAGGCTGCTAGGAAATCCATGAATTCCCACAGCTGTAAGCCCAAAGCCCTCAAACCCTGGCCCACCTCCAGGGAGAAGCGTGCGCTTCACACACTTTGCACAAGGACTGTGTCTGAGGGGCCGCACTTGAGAGTTTTTCCTAAGCAGTGAGACGGGCTCCCTGCAGTCAGACTGGGAGAGCAGATCATCTGACTGAGCCTCCCTCCTCCTCTCGTAGCTGTAGCCTTGCCAGCGTCTGACTGGAACGCCCAAAGTTGGCAGAACTTAGTATCCTTTGCTGCTTTCTCCACCCTGCTCCTGTCTCTCAGCTCAGCGGGTGCGGCAGCTGCGAGAGCAATGCCTGTCTCCCTTTCTTGGGCCTGGTAGGCGTTTTTGTGTCGCGTCTTTACAAAGCAGAACTTGTTGAGGGAGCGGGGTGGTGGCGGCTGTGAGGGGGTGGGGGGGCATGGACTGGACTGGTCCCACTTAGTTAGGACCAGCAGATCTGTCGTCATCCTGCCGTTGCTTGGCTTTTGCAGGTGGAATTACTTTTTCCTTTACGATGGCTCCAAGGTTAAGGAAGAAGAGGATCCCACCAGAGCTGGCATTTGCTATTTTTATCCTTCTCAGGTAACCTCCGATCCTACTTAGAGCCTCTTTGTGGAACCGTGCGTGGCAGCACGGCTTATGCCTGTTCCCATCTCGTGGTGCCACCTTCTGCTGCTCTCTTGCTGCTCCAGCGGTGGAACAGCAGCACTTTTCCACAATGCTCAGTTGTGTGGCAGGGGCATAGGCCTCTGCACCGGGGGTGAGAAGGAGCGGAGAGCAAGGAGAGTTGGCCCATTTTACATGTTTCTATACAGGGCTTTGGTCTCAGTGGCTGTAATGAAAAGCTGAGCTGCCATGCACCGGTGCTGCGGGTCGGGTGGGGGTGGTGCAGGCGGTGCTTCCCCATTCCTCCAGAGCACCAGCAATAATGCCTCTTGCCTCCTCCCCCGCCAGACTCTCCTCGACCAGCAGGAGCTGCTGTGTGGGCAGATCGCGGGTGTCGTGCGCTGCATGGTGGAGATTTCAGGTGTTCCCCCCAGGCTCATTCGGCTCAGAAAGCTCAAGTTCGCCGTGCGGCTGGACGGCGAGTACCTGTGGGTGAGTTCAGGAGGCCCAGTGGCGTGCGAGGAGCCGGCCTGGTGTGAACGAGTGTCAGCTGTCAAATCGTCCCAAGGGGCTTTCAGAAAGCTCCACACCGCAAGGGTTATACCAGTGCCCCTCATCCGCTGGGCTGCCTCTTCTCTGTAGCAGAACTCTCCAGCAGGCCTTTCCATTACGAAGGGACCCCTTCTCTGGCCTGTGATCTGTGAATTCAGCCCCTGCATGTGCACTCTGGAAGCATGTTCTCAGCCATCACAGTATTTAGCTGGAGTGCCAGGAGTCTGAAACAGGAGGGGAACGGGTCCAGTGGGCCTTTGGGTTTCTAGCCCTGATTGCACCTGCCTGAACTACCATGGCCTTCATGCCCCTCTCACCTTCCAGGCTGGCTTTTCCATAGGCTGGCAAACAGGCAGCTGTCGTGTGGCCACCCAGGGCTACTTGCAGGGGTTCCCTCACTGCGGGCTGGACAGGGGTGATAGCTCGCTTGCTGTTCCCAGCTGCTGCAGTGACTGCTCCCTGTGCCGGCCTTTGCCCTGCAGGTGCTGGGCTGTGCTGTTGAGCTCCCTGACATCAGCTGCAACCACTTTCTGGATCACCTGATCGGACTCTTCCAGTTCTACAACGGCCCCGTGCGCCAGGCTTACACGGTGAGTGCTGAGGGTGTGTGCTTCTCATCTGGAGTCATGTGTAGCCCTGGCCTGTCTTCTTGGGCAGTGTAGGGACGAGAGAGACTGATCTAAGGGACTGCACGTAACCAGATCGTGTGTAGACTAGACTCTTGCCACACGGTGTCTAACACGCTGCCTCTGGTCCCCAGGCTTTTTCTCAGGAAAAGCTGAGCAAGCAGTGGGACCAGTACATCGATCACATTCAGAAGAACACTAGTGACCTGCACAGGATCTTCAATTCCCTCTGGCACTTGGACAAAACCAAGGTGACTCCCCAGGCTCCTGACATCCAGCCACAGAGCCCCCTCACCCAAGGAGCTAGCGTCCCCCTGTTGCACGGGTGCGTTTCAGTGAGCTCTCGCCTCTGGCTGGTGCCATGGGTTAACTGCCACCCTCTGCTTTTTGCACACAGGTGGACCCCCTGCTGCTGCTGAAGGCAGCCCTCATCTCCCAGACCTGCCAGCGCTGCCGTCATGTCCTGGCTGGCTGCATCCTCTACAAGGGTCTGTGAGTATGCGGGGGCTTGTTGAGGCCCCGTGCCTGTCTGCTCTCTAGCCAGTCAGCTGCAGAAACCCCACCCTGAGCTGCTCAAGGCAATGCCGCTTTACCAGAGCGGTGGCAGCAGCAGAGCAGCTTTTCCTCTGCGGGGCAAGGGCAGGGGGCACCTGAGACACAAACTGCACAGCGCCAAAGAGTGTCAGGAACCACAGAACTAGGTATGCCGTGCTGGTTGTCATCCCAGGAGTGGCGGACTTTCCTGGCTGGAATTACCTGTAGGCATCCAGCTGCCATACAGAGCCAGTGGGGACTGGGAGCTGGGCTGGTGGCTCTTCAGAACAGCCCCTGAGGTCGCTATTTTTAATGCCTGAGCTCTTCAGGGCAGGGTCTTTTCCCCCATGCCCAGCCGGCCTCTAAACACATAGTGGGATGGCAACTAAATAGGCTAGCAGTGACACAGCCAGGTGTCCTGGCTCCCCAGACTCTCTGCTTCTGTGACCTAGGACTAGCTATAGCATGAATATTGCATGCTGCACGCCTTTTGCCTGCTGGCTCTAGCTGCCTGGGGCTCAGCCCCTGCGGTGACTGCTGACAGCTTGGTGGTGGTGGCTGCTGCTGTCTTCAGTGCTGCAGCTGCTTCCTTACCCCGGGTGGTGTATCCTGGGGCTGCCAAGCACTAATTGGAAAGCCTCCTACATCGGGTTACAATGTACCGGCAGTGTCCTGTCCCCTGTCTTGCCAATAACAAGTGCTTGATTGAATGCCTAGCTTGCTGGCCGGCGGCACGTTCCACACAGGCTGGAACAGCTGTAGGGGAAAGGAGCCAGCCTCCCCGAGGGAAAAGGAGCCAGCCTCCTCGCAGGAAGCATGAGCTCCCTTCAGCTAGAAAGGATCTGTGTGCCAGCAGCACAGAGCCCCAGCCGGGAGTTGTCCAGGGACAAAGAAGGCCATGCGCTGACAAGGCTGCCCTACTGCTTCATCTGGGAGCCTTCCTTCATGGGGTCCGGCAGGCCCTTGGTGTGATGAAGCCACAAGTGCAGCAGGCCAGAGGACGGAGGGTTTTGGAAGCACATGGGGTGCTCTGCCCACCCTTCCCCAGTGCTCTTTCAGCTCTGAGGCCCCCCTGCCCTGAAGCAGCGCTGCCAGCAAACTGCAAGAGCCAGGAGGCTGCGCGAGATGTTCTGGGGGGCTTTGGTTCCCCTGGCTCAGATGAGACCTGTTGCTGCTGCCTGGGAGATGTGCCAAGCTTATGCATGTAGTTCAGGCTCAAAACCTTCTTGCTAGGTTTTGACTCTGCTCCATGGTTCAGTTCAGAGCCCCTTGGATTCAGCTGGGCAGTGGCTGTTGGCACTGGAGTGGAGTTTGGGGCTGGCCACCTGGGTAACAAGAGGGCTACAGCTACCCCAGTCCGCCCCAAGCGCTGTGCACTTACCTCCTGGCCAGTCCCAAGCAAGAA